TTAAGGGTTTAGGGTTAGGGGTTTGGGGTTTAGGGTTTAGGGCTTAGGGGTTTAAGGTTCAGGGGTTTAGGTCTTAGGGTTTTATGCAGGGGTTCAAATCATCAACGGCAGGGCTTGGGGGTTTAGGGTTCAGGGGTTTGGGTCTTAGGGTTTTATGCAGGATTTATATCATCAACGGCAGGGCTTAGGGGTTTAGGGCTTAGGGGTTTAGGTCTTAGGGCTTTATGCAGAATTTATAAATCATCAACGGCAGGGCTTAGGGGTTTAGGGTTCAGGGGTTCAGGGCCTTGGGTTGAGGGACTTAGAGTGTGTGTGTGGGGGGGGGGGGAGGCGGTTTTCCTTGTCTCATGGTCAGAAGCTTTTGGAGTTCTGAATTGGATCGCAAAGGCCTGAAGAGCTTCATCGTGGTCCATGCTATTATGGTCATGGTCACTCTAGTTGCTATAGTGCTAGGATTCTTGCAGTGAAGTTGCAGTAGCTATAAAAGCATGCTTCCACTTCGGCCTAAACGTCCTGTACAGTTTCTTTACACTAATGCATCTTCCGCCAAACCCGGAGGATACCTAGAGAGGAGCGTGTTCCGTAAGTTATGCTGCAACACCATGATCGTCAAGTGCTCACGGTTTAAACTGGTCGCCCGAGCGGGTTTATTGCTTGGTTTTGGACTGAGAGTGCGAATGGATAGCCCTCAATCAGCCATTCCTATTCCCTAAACCCTCGACCCTGAACCTTATTCTGCTTCATTCGGTTCGCTCTTGTCGACTCCCTGCACAACGCTACCGTTTTTCGCGCAATTGAAAATAAGGCATATGCTTCGCCAAAAAAGGTGAACTCCTAATAAGATATCAAACCCTGAGGGTTTTGGGTTTAGGGTTTAAGGTTTAGGTTGATATAGGGTTTAGGGGCTTAGGGTTTTGGGTTTAATGTTTAGGGTTTAGGGTTTTACTAAGTTGCCCTTTAAGCCCTTTGAAAAGTATGTACTATTATGGTTCTCTACAAAATAGTAAGGGAAATTAAAAAAGATCCCAAAATACAACCCAGTTTAGGGTTTAGGGTGCCATTCTCGCAGGCCGAGGCCTTGTCGAGGCTGGTGAGGTGGGCATAGGCCGCCGGAAACGCTTGGACCTCCCATAAGCAAGGGATCTAGGGAAGGTTGGGGGCTTGGTTTAGGGTTTAGGGCTGAAGGCTTTCATTGGAGCTCGGCATCAGGAATTTAGGGTGTAGGCTAGGTTTAGGGTTTCAGGTTTAGGGGGTTTAGGGTACAGGGCTTGGGGGGTTTTAAGGGCTACTGTACAAGGTTTATAGGGGTCCAAGGCATCGCTTTTAGCTTATGGTTCGGGCTCTAGAGATTGAAGGCTATTGTTGCAGGGTCTGGAACCCGGACTTCTCGAAGATAGCAGCTGAGCAGCACGTAGAGTGGCTTTGGGACACTCCCAAACCCTCCATCTGCACTCACTGAGATCCTAAATGATTACCTACTCTTCGCGGCCAGTTGCCCTTGTTTGAGGGTACAGGGAGGGTCCTGGCTTGCGTGTGAATCAGAAACCCAGCGCAGAACCACTCTGGACCGGACAAAGCCTTAAGCAAAGAGAAAAGCCGCTGCAAGGCAGGGCAGGTCTTCGGCTTGCGAGAACGGAAGCAGTTTCAAATACTCAGACTCAGCAAACATGTACCGCTGATGTACAAACATGCTCCGAACCGATCCTGAATCCTCTGTGTCTCTTGCCGAACTCGCCCTGATCTGCCCCTACATGCAACTTGACGTTTCTTCGACGAACATTCCCTCCCAGCAAACGTATCATCACACTGAGCAATGCAACCCTTCACAAAGCTCTATCCTGATAGGTGTACCGCCTGCCTATACCTGACCCGACACGCCCAAAAGCCACGAGAGACAAAGAGCCTCGCCCATGAAGTAGGCTGCAAGTCCAACCGGGATCAGCCCCATCCTTGCTAGCAGGGCTTTGGTAGAATTGTTCTGCTGCCCTTTCGGTTTGTCCGTAATTTCGGCTACCGAAGTCTCGAGCTCGACGTTGAGGATGCTTCGGTACCGGACAGTGCTATGGGGCTTAGAGCTTGAAATTTAGATGTTGGGGTCGGGCACGAAGTGGTTTCCATTCCGAGGCTTCGGATGTCTTCGGTGTATAGAGGCTTGACAAAGAGCCTCCATCCGTTCTCTTTGCCTTGCTGAAGCTGTACTCATGATCCCAGGTGATGTTGTCTACCACGCCCCCAGCCGGTCGGTCCCGAGACGGGAGTGCTGAACACAACATGCAAGGGATCTAGGTGCTACGGGCCAGAAGCAGATGCTAGGGTTATTTTATAGTTGGTCTGGGTCTGAGCTTGATAATTAGGGGTGAAGCGTTGGGTAAGATGTAAGAAAAGGGATTGCTTCTGTCACATCCGACAACATGCCAAGCATCATGTTGTTGATAATCGTGATACCGGTCTTCGAGATGTCCACCGGGTGCTGATCCTTCAACGGCTCGACTAAAAAGCTGACTGTTCCTGCAAGCCCTAAGCCCTAAAACCCCACGCCCTACAGCTACAACTTATGCCGTTTTCGAAGCGGGTCCTTGGACAGCAACAGACGCTGAAGGAGCCGATCACATACAGCCACCACGCTGTTGAGCATCACCCATCCGATGCCCCCCCAGTGCTCCGAATGGAGCTGCGAGACGTACCTTGCTTTCTGGCCTATGGTTTGAAGCCCTTGATTCTGCTTCAGGACTCAACCAATCCTGATCAGATAGCACTAGAGCGTTCCTACTACAAGAGCGACCAGACGACAACGAAAACACGCTTCGGCTTCGTAGGCCTTCAACAACCCCCCTGTGACTGGGCAGCTGCAATCGCACTGGAGGTTCTAAACCCTACCCAGAGACTCCAAAACCCCTTAATTAAGCAATATATCTTAAATCATATTAGGGTTCCTATTATAATCTAAAGTATATTCCTTAATTAAGGGGTTTTGGAGTCTCTGGGTACAACCAAACCAAGCCCCATGCATCGACAACTAGTAATTACCATACATAGGCTGGACATTGTCAAGTCATAGTGCCGAGGGAAAAGACTGCCAGGCTTCTTGGCAACGGCGCGAATACTGATAGAAACGCGACAACCCCCAAATACCTGAATAAACACTCCCGAACCAGGCTCATCCAAGTCAACAGCCCCAAACCCTAGACCCCAAAACTCCCAAGACCCTGCTCAATCAATGCTAGCAGGAAGGCCTGCAACCCTAAACCCTACATGATCCCAAAGGGTCCAAGTTATAGTATAGTATATACTTTCGGGGTCCAAATACCTACAAAGTAGCTACCATAGTAGTACTTGGACCAACCCTAAACCCTAAACCCTAAACCCTAAACCCTAAACCCGACCCTTTGGGAATGTCAAGAGGAAGATGCATCACCGCCCCGGCAACCATCACAAGGATGGCGCCGACCATCTGACCGCTGATTCGAAGTGGCTCGGGGTAGAAGCGCTCGATGAGCCTCTGCGACTATGGGCATTTTATTTTCGGGGTTTAGGGTTTAGGGTTAAGGGTTTAGGGTTTAGGGTTCTATAAGCATTACTATTCAGGGTTCTATAGTAGCTGTTATATGATGGTTCAGTACAAGCTCCTTTTTAAGCGTTCTATAGAGGGTATTAACACAGCTGCTATTTGATGGTTCGGTACTATACCGGGGTTCTTTAAAGGGCTTTTGTCACAAATACTATATGATGGTTCGATGCAAGATACTCTAAAGAGAGGATGCTTCGATACGAGCTATATACTATATGGGAGTTTCCGAAAATAAGGGACCCTAATATAGTACTCTAAATAGTAGGATCCGTATTGTAAGGACCCCAAAATAAGGTACCCCCCTAATTTTCGGAAACTCCCATAAACTATAGAAGGGTTGAATAAAACACGCAACATCGACCCTTCTGCTGCACCGTCTCTGCACCCTAAGCCCTAGACCCCCAGCCGAAATTTCTCGACTCCAAACCCCCGAACCCCAATCCCATACTCTAAACCCCCAAATCCTAAATCAACTCCTGAACCCTTAATCCTAAACGCAAAAAACCCGGAAAACGGATCCTAAACCCCAAAAAACCCTAAACCCTAAACCCTAAACCGCCCTAAACGGCTTCCACTGAAGCCACGGGGCAGGGAGAAGAGCGGTGAGGCACTGCGAAGGACGATGACCAGGGACATGGGGGCGCTCTTCCTCGATACGCTTTTTCGGGGCTCTTGACTTGGGGTTCTTCTTGAGGTTTAGTTTGGTGTTAAAATAAGGTTTATATGTGGTTTGCTTTGACTTAAAGTTGATTTTGCGGGATTTTATGTCCAGTGTACTTGATTTGGGGTAGGGAGATACGGTCCCTTTCGCTTTCTGGAAGTGTGTCGCGAGGACACTGGTGGTCATAGAGGTAAGAAACTAACTCAACACGCACTCTTCCCTATATGGGTGGTTGTCAAAATTAGGGTCCCTTTTTGGGTCCTTATAATAATACGGCACCTATTATTTAGGGTACCCCAAAAGGGACCATAATTTTGACAACTACCCAATATGTCTTTCGCCTTCTGCCCCCAAAAGACGAGGATGGATATCCTGGAGATGGTAAAGGTTCTTCAACCCGAAATTCTGAGAGACGAGTACATCTTAAGCTCATCTCAGCCCTGTAAGCCCTCATCTAGGGTTTGGGGTCTAGGGTTTAGGGTACATGTAGACTAAACCTTGTTAAGCCTCAAAGCCTACAGTACCCTTGCAAGCCCTCGGATCCTGCTCTAGGCTGAACCCTGATAAACCCCAGGACCATAGATCCTAAGCTCTCAACCCAGACCCCAAACCCGAAGCCAATCTAAACACCCGAAGCTCTAAACCCTAAACCCTAAACCCTAAACCCTTACCAGTCCGTAGATCCTACAATGCTGCTCACGTGGAGGGTCAAGGCTAGGATGGAGGTCAAGAGCATGCCGCAGAAGCAGGGCACCACCTTGGCGCTCTTGTCTTTGGGTGTTGGGTTTCGGGTTTAGGGTTTAGGGTTTAGGGTTTAGGGTGTTGGGTTTAAGGCTTTCGGGTTTAGGGGGTGTGCTGTTTAGGGTTTAGGGGGCTTTGGGGCTAAAGGGGCTTGTTGCTCTGATGGGTTTAGGGTTTAGGCGGGCTTTGGAGTTTAATTAGAGGCTTATTGTATTGGGCTTGGCGGTATAGGGTTTTGACAAGATCGCCGGCGGGGAAGTGTCTGGGTGTTAGGGATTTACAGGAGTGCGGTAATCGACCGGCAAAGCTCGCAAAAAGTGCAACTCAAGAGCTTGAACAAAACCTACTGTTCTGCAGGGTTTCCTAAGGCTTCCTGTACCCTAAAACCCTAAACCCTAAACCCTGAACCCTAAAACCCTGAACCCAAAACCCTTCCTACATGGTTTTACAGGGCCTTCACAGGCCCAGTGAGGGATAATTCAGGCCAAATACAAGTCCGTAAAGACAGGTTGATACAGTAGGGGTAAGGGGTTTAGGGTTTGGGGTTTCGGGGTAAGGCTTTTTTTTTGGTTTAGGGCTCAAGGCTGGTTTAGGGCTTAGGATAACCTAAGTTTAACCCTAACCCCCCAGGTACCTACTATATAGGGTACTAGAGCCCCTAAAACCCTATATAGTAGGTACCTGGGGGTTAGGGTAAGCCATCATGGAACTGAAACCTCACTAGGGACACTACCATGCACCAGCGCAGGAAGTCCCGCAGGGAGCCGATGTGCAAGTAGGGGAAGCCGAAGATGAGCCTCAAAGGTTTTGCATGGAAGTGTGGGTTTAGTTTTGGGGTTTGTTTAATGTCTTCGTATACATAAATAAATGAATAAATAAATAAATAAATATATATATATATATATACTATATATATATATATTATATATATATATATATATATATTATATATATACATACACAGAGGGTCTTGGATCGAGCAGTCCACGAGCGGACCACCATTGCCAAGACCCCAGTGCACATCGTGCACGCACTGTGCCGCCATTGGGCTGCCACGACC